GGGTCTTTAGTGTTCTGCACTGATCTGCAAGAGTGCCAAATCTCAATATTTCTTCCACGGCCTGGCAGGAATTTGGAGCTGATGTACAGATGCTAGCCTCCTTTTCGCAAAGTAGATGCAGGGCCTCCTGTTGTTTAGCCATGCCCTGTGGTGGTGAGCCAGGAATTGTTGAGATGAGCTCTCGTTTATCTTTAAGTTCTCTTTGGACAGGGATAAGATAACAGTTGAGGTGGGAAGAACAAGTGGTGACCCTGAAAGCTGGGGTGGGGGTCTGGACTATCTCCATAGGATTGTTTGCAAAGAACTATTCCTTTTCTTCTACAGTTAAACCAGAAAACAGACATGAGCAGCTTAAGAGGCGTTTTCCACTGATGGGTTGTCCCCTGAAGCCCCAGTATCTCATTGAGCTAACTGCACCTATTTTAGGTGCTCCAAAGCTAGAATACTTTTTGTAAAAAATGGGACAACACTAAGTACAGGCTGCTGTTCATTTTTGATATGGCAATCTCAACAACAAACTCAGTTAATGAACCGCATGAAAGTGGCCATCTGGTTTTGAGTTCTGGTTTTTCTTACTTCTAAGAGTATTCCACTAAGCCCTACCTGCCAGGCAGCCTTAGAAAAACAGAGATACAAACTCTGAACTCCTTCACCTGCTCTCCAAACCAGTGGGAGTTCCACTTTCTCAGCATTTATTGAGATTTTGCATCTACTTTGCCCAAATCCAGGAATCCTGTGAGCTCTGCCAACAGGATAAGTGCAAGGATGCAAAGCAGACAAAAGCATTTTTCAAAATGCATTTATATTCATTGTCACTGGAGCAGCACAGATGTCTTCCCACTTGACTTTAGGATAACAATAGAACCGCCCTATCAGACAGCCAACAAAACAACCCTAGAGGCAGCGCAAAGGAGTAGAGGGGTTCAAGTTAGTAAACAGGGGATCCTGTATCTGCTCCCTGCTGGCCCCACCGTCATGCAGACAGGAGCCTATTCGCACAAACCACATCCTCCATCAATATGTAAGATTTTCACCTCTTTACTTTTGAATCATAGCATTTGGGAACCTTCACAGTCCAACACAGTAGGACAAAGTTTGAGCCAAAGATCTGCCAACAGTCCCAAGGGTTGCCAGCCTAGCAGCATATGTGCACAGAGGATGTGGCTTTGGGAAGCATGTGAACACCATGCTGAGAGCCAGCGGGAAACGTGGGACTCCTCAGGCAACACAATGTACACTGCCATGGAATAAGGAGATGTTCTCGGTGGTAACCAAGGCTCATGCCTGGATCTAACAAGCAAAGAAAAAAGTGGGGAGAAAGCAGCGGAAAAATCAGCATGCTTCTTATTTAGCTAACCAGTTAAAGGAGGGAGTGAAAGGAGGGCCAGCACAACCAGGAGCAGGAACTAGGACCCTCTAAAATCTCAAGTGATTCAACAGTCCGGGACATCATAACATCAGGATAATGGCTCCAATTTTCTATTATTCTGCTTAGCTATTATTAGCTTCCTTAACTAATGCCCAGAGAATTCCTCCTGGCATTAAAATGAAAGCGAGATCTAATTCCAAATCTCTCTAGGATTTGGCATTAGGGAGGCTGTCTGTAAAATGGGATGCCAGATTTTTTTTCCCCAGTCACAAACTGTAGATGGGGAGGATGCTTGTTTTGCCAGAGAGTAGGGTGAAGAGTGCTAACCTATCCCAAGCTTGGAATAGGTACTGCACTGTCTGTGTGTGAAGACAGAGTCCGGGTGGGCATGAGTCGAGGAGGTAGGATGTAATGTAGTAAGAGACAGAAACACAATGGAGTGACACCACCCAAGCAAGAGGAACACGAGGTGATAGTTGTAGTAGCACTTCATATGGGGAGAGTCAAGAAGAGATAACAAAGAAGAAGGTAACAGAGTAAAAAGCAAGATGAGAAACTGGAGTGAACTCATCAGAGCTTGGCTGTACAAAAATGACACAAAATCTGTGAGGCAGGGAAAGGTTTTTCTCATATCTGAAATTCACGTTTTAAAGCTACACCTTGTAAGCAATGAAGCACTTTGTACCTAAGGATCTGAAATGTCATGTCCTGCCTGCAGTGACGTTTTGGTGACAAAATGCAGCTGCACTTTGAAGCAGTTTTTGCTTTTCACCTTGTCACTTTTTAGAACGTCTGTAATACATTGTGCTTTCATGGGCTTGAGCTGTCCTTGGAGGATCATGCTCCCTTGTTGCACTGAGAACAGTTTTGAAGAACTCAGAAACAAAATATATTTCTTCCCTTGACTGAAATAGGAACTCTGTTACAAAGTGCAAATTGTTTGGGTTTTTGGTCTGAATGATACCATCTTTACCAAAGTCAAGTTGTAAGACTAGAAGTAGAAGAGTCTATGCAGGAAGAAGACGGGACGGATCATTTCCTCGGGCTGCAGGTGATAGAGTTTATCTCAGGTGTGGACATCGTTCAAGTCGAGAATAATAATCTGTAGCAGAGCTTGGAACCGAGGGGGAAATCTGTCCTTCAATGAGTGACTGAAGGAGAAAGAATGCTTTTACTCTGAGGTTCATAAAGGCTGACTTAGTGGCTGAGCACTCCCCGATTCCTCAGCTGAAAGCTTTCTGTGTACAAAGCAGTCTTGTGTGCTACAATAGATGGAAAATACACAACAGTATCCTGCAGGATAGCCTGCTGTATGCAGCAGAGGTGTTCTTCATGCCTAATAAGACAGCGTGAAGCAGCACTGACAATTCAGCAGG